TAAAGCATCAGAATTTTCTTTAGAAACTAGGAAAGACAACTCCACTTTAAGCCTTTTCAAATTCCTTAAGCCCAGTATTGACAGACCTGTTTCGCTAACTAAAAATTCACAAGGTATGTATGAGGAATTATCATCTCTTATTAGCAACTCACAAAATCCTCGTATAGGCAGTCTGTGTCCAGTAATCCCCAATATTGATACTTCAGTGGGTCATACCACAACGTTAGAATCTAAAGATTTCAAGTTCTTGAATGAAATAATGGACTCTATACTGCCTGTGTCCACAATAAGGTAATGACATGAACCATGAGATGTATATAATCGCTTTTGAATATGAGTATAACCTTTCGAAATGGTAGACAAAGATAAATGATCATTAGGAGCAGCTGAATTATTGGGATCTAAATTACAAGATTTAGTACCACTTGAGGCAAAATGGACGGTAGCTTTGCATGCTGTTTGAATGTGTCCTATCTTACCACAAATAAAACATTTAGCATCACGAAATGCACATGAATTACGAGAATGAAGTTTTCCACATGATAAACATTTGCCAAACTTAGTCTCAACTTTGTGATTTCCTTTGTAATTCCTTGTTGAAACACCTTTCATATTTACACGGGAATAGGAGCCACTGTTAAACGAACGCAATTTTGATTGACCCTGAGATTGTATTCCATCATGACGACTAAGCAAAGTATTAGAAATTTTCATCGACTGGATATCAAGTTCATTCACTGCCTCGTAGTTATTACACGCAGTTCTAGTATCTTGAAAGGAACAGTTGGGCATTCTTAACAGCTCTCTTTCCAAACCCGGTATGTTAATTCCTGCAATTAATCGATCTCTCAGTTGCACATGAAGTTGATCACCAAAATTGCATTTGGCAGCTTGTTTCTGCAATTCAAAGATGAATTCCCTAACCTTTCGGTCATTTCGAAGAGTCATCTTATGAAATTTCGCCCTTTCAAGGCATTCAAAACTAGTGCACTTTACATGATTTAATAATAGCTCCTTAATAGTTGTATAAGGAAGTGAGATAGGTTTTTCTGGATATGCCAAGTTTTCAATAAGCTGTATGCTTCTTTTCCGATGAATGTGCCACAATTTCATCACCTTTAACGTCCTTCTTGGTCACGTTCCAAATTTCAAACCTTTCGAAATAATCCTCAAAATCTTCAGAAGTTGAATGAATATCTAACTGTTCCAACGCAGACTCCATCGCGACGCCAATATGATAATTAGAAGAATTTGAATTATAGTATAAACTAAGAATCCCTGAGATAACGCAATTGAATCAAGAAGTACTACACAAGCTCTAACGAATGTACTTTATTTAGAATTCGAAATCAGGCATTCAACAAGTACAAAGGAGTCATTAGTTCATTCAAACACCACAGCTAAACAAAGTTGTATTATAATAATAAAATGATTCAATATAAGTATATTTTAATAAAGTGCCGTAAGATACGTAGTGATATCCGTAGGTTAATAACATTTCCTGTTTAGGAATATTAAAAACAGCCAATATTAGAGAAATGTTAAAAGTGGTATTATAATTGGTCTAAATTATGAAATCAAATAACGTATGTGCCGGTAAGTTGTCCATGCGTTGATTTCCAATTGCATCTGTTTTAGTAGGCTAACTGAAAGAACAAAAGTATAAGCGCGGAGAAGAATTCCAACTAGTGTTCCAGTTAGTTTGATACGATTTATTTAGATATGGGGAGATTTTCTCGACCTCATTTTTACTTGACCGTAATAGAATTTAGTAATACAACTAATACATATGAATTGTTATCAAAAATTTTTAAATACGTGAAAAGTAATAATTATGTGGATTTTGGACAGATAGATAAGAGCAAATCGTTAAACATGAGTGTATCCGTTAGAGATATGCTCTAGACTCAATGTTCCGACTTATCTTAGAGTATTTATTTATATCTATACCTAACAGCTGATGGTGCATATAAGTTATTTGCAAGTATGCAGTTTAGCATGAGGCGGAATACGATTTGATTGAGATATAATAAATGTAAGTTATTAAAATCAACTAAGCCTATGTGCCACATTTCTAGGTGACGTGGTGCTGCACGATGCATCCGGCTAAATACGTTTTTACATGATTAACAGTGAGTGATGCTCATGTGATTATCAGGGAGAACATAAGTTGTAACCAAGGGGAGTACATTCTCAACTCATGTCTATGATAATCGCCTGATCTTTAGTCAGTTTAGGGGTAAATTCGACATTGATGTCTTCAGTTTGCAGGAGATTTGCTCGACTGCTTATACTGGTTATTAGCATACATGATTGTGTCGCTAAACCTCCAAATATACTGACAAGGTTTTGAGATATTTACTGAATGAGCGACTGGTAGAGAAGCATAATGAAAATCATCTGTAATGGATGAACATAACGAGAAAACACTATTTAATGATAATTATAAGTCAATTTGCTGACCGATTTTGTTAATAGTTTCATCAATTTTATCAATCATATTACGTGATTGTCAGACAAATCAAGAGTGGCAAAGCAGTAGGACCAGACAGCATTCCAGCAGAGGCACTGAAAGCAGACGTAGCGGCAACTTCAAGGATACTCCACATTCTCTTCAGAAAGATCTGGGATGAGGAACAGGTACCAAACGACTGGAAAGAAGGACTTCTAGTCAAAATACCAAAGAAAGGCGATCTCAGCAACTGTGACAACTACAGGGGAATCACTCTTCTCTCAATACCAGGAAAAGTCTTCAACAGGGTATTGTTAAACAGGATGAAGGACTCCGTAGACGCACAACTTCGAGACCAACAGGCAGGATTCCGTAAGGATAGATCGTGCACAGACCAAATCGCAACTCTACGGATCATTGTGGAACAATCAATTGGATGGAGTTCATCACTCTACATCAACTTCATCGACTACGAAAAAGCATTTGATAGCGTGGACAGAACAACCCTATGGAAGCTTCTTCGACACTACGGCGTTCCTCAGAAGATAGTCAATATCATACAGAATTCCTATGGTGGATTAAACGGCGAAATCGCGCATGGAGGACAGTTGGCAAAGTCACTCTAAGTAAAGACCGGTGTGGGGCAAGGTTGCTTACTCTTACCTTTTCTCTTTCTCCTAGTGATCGACTGGATCATGAAGACATCAACATCTGAAGGGAAGCACGGGATACAGTGGACATCTAGGATGCAATTGGATGATCTAGACTTCGCAGATGATCTGGCTCTTCTATCGCATACGCAACAACAAATGCAGGAGAAGACAACCAATGTAGCTGCAGCCTCAGCAGCCGTAGGTCTCAATATACTCTTCGTTAACGTTAACGGTGTTTTTACTTTTCCATCAATCATAATCGGGTGTTTAACGGGTCAGGTAGCAGTACTTACTACACTGATTCATTCTTCACTGTCATTGCTCATGATGTCAGGACAACCGCCATCGTTTTTCATACAGGCCAAAGCCAATAGGCTCATAGCCTCCTGGATTAGTAACTTTTTAGTTGTACAGCAAAACATACAAAGCCAATGCGAGTTTGGCTTCGAGCATCTTTTGTATGCCGTAGGACTTAGACGTGTACACCTCTTATGGTATCACTTTTTACATTCACCTCACTGCATTCCTTCCTCAACGAGGAACAAGCAGTTTGGCTATCCACATTTATAGGTCTTACTAACCATTTTAATTTTATTTAAAACGTTTAAAACACACTATGATCACAACGTGAACACGAATATCAGTCAATGAGTAAGCAAGAAAGGTACCACAGGACAAAGTTTAGGGAAAATTTCAAACCTTAACCAAAGTACTTTTAGTTAAATTAGACCAAGAATGCTTTCTGTTGCAACTAGTACACAAAGCAATGATAATCACAACCAGTACAAAAATCACTCCCCTTTTTGAAACGCGCGCGTACTTGATGTGAATAAAAGACTTCCTAGTTGTGCGTCAACAAAAAGTACGGGTTAAGTCCAGATTGTCTAGCTGGGAAACTGTGCTTAGTGGAGTGTCCCAGGGTACAATTTTGGGGGTAGTGTAATTCTTCTGATATGTAAATAACCTTCCTCGTCTAATATCACCATTTGTCTTGCTATATGCTGACGATGTCAAGATATGGAGGGCAATACGAAACAAGGGTGATAACTTAGAACTCCAAAATGACCTGAAGAAGTTATCTGAATGGTCTTAAACCCGGCAGTTGCCGATTATTATTCCTAAGTGTATTGTGATGCATATCGGTCATCAAGGTTCAGATACATACACGATGAATAACACTGAGCTACCTGTTGTCCAGACACAATGACTTAGGGGTCACCGTTATCCGAGACTTAAAGGCTGCTGCACACTGCCGCGCAACAGCCGCCAAAGGGTTTAGAACTATATGGTCAATACCTAGGGCCTTTATTCATGATGACACTAAAACGTTTTTGACTTTATATACAGTGTTCGTGCGTAAAAAAATCGAGTACTGCTTAAAAAGGCAACGAGCTTTCAGAAAGGGGTCAGAGAAATGCAACTAAGCTGATTCCAGGAAAAGCGAAGCTTCCGTGTGATGCTCGACTGGCCAAGTTAGACCTATCCCCGTTGTCACATTGAAGGACTAGAGGTGATTGATTACAGTTTTCAAATTGCATACTGATAAATTTTCACCCGATATCACCCTGTCTTCCAAAACAAAGAATTTATGAGGACACTCAAAAAAAGTTCATAAGCCCAGAACAAATTGCTCGTCAGCTGATTATCAACTTTCCCATCGAATCATCAACGAGTGGAATTCATTAACTCAGCACGCGTGTTTAGGCTCCATCCATCGACTCTTTCAAAAGAAAGTTGAGTCAACTGAAAAACCGTCATTGCCAGGGTTATTACAGGCCATCAAGCCTCCTTTTCTTCCTAAACTGAAACCGCTGTGTCGTTTTTATTGTACATTGAGCGCTGAATACTGGCACTGTTCTAAATTGTGACGTTACCTTTCTACAAATTACTGCGCGATGAACGTTGATGAACCGAAAACAATGGTAATGTCAATGAATCTCATTTTACGAATTTGCGAACAATCGTTTGCTTCTATGAGATGTTAATGCAGATTTTCTTTGCCTAAATCATGAACTAGTATCACAATAATTTGCTCATTGAATTATGAGAGCGCTGTTATATCAGACGAGATTGATAAGTTAAATTACATCAGCGTTGTATTGACTTTTTAAATTAGGCTGTGAGTTCTTTAGGACTGTAAATATAGTTTTCATATGGTGAATGTAAATTTTTGGTTTAATAAATGCATTTGTCGTCATCAAACACAGATTATGTGTTATAGTTAAAAGCTTTTGAGTTATATTACGAACTAGAAACCGAAGAAATAGCGCAATTCGGAGCAAATAGGAGTAGGTGGGCACGATCGAACATATGGTATTTAGAATTCGAAACTAGGCAGTTATCAAGTACAAAGGAATCATTAGTTCGTACAAATATCACTCAAGATCGAAGTGCTTTTATGCCGTACTTAAGTTTATGTAATGTCAATACTGTTATCGGGGCCAGAAAATAATTGAGCCTTCACAATTTGATATTTTTGGAAGCAACAAACTGACATCATTTAATTAGTAGAGTAACAAAGCAGGTTAGAAATCTGTACTTGAAACACTTCAGTAGGCTCTAATTTTTAATCAGACAACTGAAATTTATCCCGTAATCTTTGTTGGCATCAAAAAATTATTTATTCAAGGGTACGTTACACTCGATTCTCGTATCGCCTAAAATAACAGTCGTTGTGTGGACCTTTGTAAAAAGCCTTGCATAGATCAACAAAGGATACATCTACGGATATTCTTGGAGCCTTCACTAAAGACTAATTTACTACTGAGACCAATATGTTCGTAAGACACGAGCAACCTGTCTCTAATCTGTGCTTCTTCACAAAGGCATTTAGGTTTTCGTCTATATAATTTAACAACTCCTTGTGGACAGTCTTTCCTAGAATTCGGACAAGTACGTTAGTCAATTGTAAAGGTAGCTTGTTTTCAAATTTGTGCATCAACTATAGAATTATTGACTTTTTCCAATAGCTTCATATTCTACTGTGAGCTACAGATAGATTGAAACACACTTGATGGATTCGCGATGATGAATGCAAGTTTCCTTAATATTTCAGAATGCGTTTTATTGCGTCTTATTAGTACTTCTATATCAATTTTCTTAATAGGCCAAAGGTATTGAATTCTTTAATTATCACAATAATTAGATCACGGATGGTGGGATTTATGTATCTGCCAGAAAAGGGTCTCTACCATATGTGCATGGCTGATATAGTCCAAGAATACATGTTTAAGATGGTCGTCTTCCATTAATGACGTTATTGTACTATCTTACAATGCTGAGTTTCTACCAAACTTTTTTATACTTCATTTCTAGTACAAAGAAGTGTTCTGAACATTCTATACAATCCTTAATCAGCTTTTCTCCATACTCTTTTTTGAAGTAACATAGGGCTATAGCATAAGCATTTCTGGCTTCTCAACTACAATAATTTGTCTCATTAACTCTCAGTAACCTAAGTTCTCTCCTTATCCTTCTTCTTTTGCGAAGAAAAGTGTGACTCCTTTTGTTTAACCGTGAATAAAAGCTCCTTAATCTGTGTGCCATCACCAAGGTACTCTTTCATCAAAAACTATTCTTACATAATACTTGTTCCAATATAGTCCGGTGAGTTTGGGGTTATTGTTATATTTTGAACGCTGGATTGTGTTGTGATTCATGTACTTGTGTGGAGCTCTAACTTTGCCTGTTATAGCTACATGGGCCTAGATATTTTATTTATTGATGGCTTAAACGAAATAACATTTCATTCATCGATAGCTAGGAATTTTCTTCTCACTTAACACTTGGTGAGACTTTAAAGTAATTTGAACTTTGAATTAGTAGTAATGAAGTTGAGTATTATCCACGTGAAATTACCCTTTTCTTCTTTTGTTTCTTCTAAATGCTGTATAAATTTGTGTTCAACGCATATAGAAATTGTGATAATTTAATGTCAGGGTTTAAATACTTTTATTGTTTTAAAGGATTTCTTGCTTGATATATAAAATCTTTTTACAACCTTCCGACAGAAGTACCTATCATAATGCTCAATAAGTGGTTTAAAAGACCAAACACTCAAAGTGAGGAATGGTGTAGGCTTTTTGCCTTTGAATGTCAAAGAAATGGTTCTGCTATGTTTTGAAACAATACTAAGAAAGGTGAAGGTCTGGTTTCAATTGACTTATGAATCCACAATTGAACGTCAGATATATTGAAATGCAAAATGCAACTACGAACAGAAAGTTTTTATACACTCTAATAATTACGCCTCAAATGTTTATCCCAGACATCCTTCTTGTTTATTATATTATTTTTCATCTCTTTTTGCCATTAAAAAGTTTCGTAAGGTGAATCAATCCATCAACATGTGGAAATGTTTGTAACTGTATTCTCTATTGTGTCACATATAAGTTCTCATCTCGCTTGTCCGAATATATCTAGTACGTTTCAAAATGTTTTCCAGTGCTTCCACAATTCACCTCTCTATTATACTAGTTTCTCAAAAAAGAGAATGATGTGAATATATTTTGGGTGATTAAGCCTTGCATTGGGTAGAGTTTTCTTATCGGTTTACTTCCTTGGACCAAATTATTTGCAAGCCATTATACTCAAGTTTTTTCAAGCTAATTCTAAACGTCATCTAGTAAATATTTGCAGAGACGTTTTGGCCGAAGCGCTTCACTTTCGAATAGTAGGTTACCTGTCTGAACTCAACCCCGCCTACCTTACTTTGAGCAATCCTACAGTATTACTAGTCAACACGAAAATTTTCGATTCAAAGTTGAGCACATGAATATGTATTTGATAAGTCAGTAAAACCAATAACTGCTCTATAATATAAAATAAATGAGGCTTTATGCACATATATTTTCATCACAGTTACCCGGATTTCAATAATGGGCTTATAAACGCTTTTTGTGAATAATCAGAGACAGCTGACCAAGGTCGAATGTCGCACATTTTTTATATTGATAAATATTGCCAACAAAAGCAATCTTCTATTATTGACATATTTTTGAACGCTTAAAGAGCCTTACGGTTTATAAATCAAAAGTCATGCATAAAAGCTTCAAAACGTATTATTTTTTAAACCGCGCGTGCATTTTTCAGTTTAAAAAACTAATCTAAAGTTCTCTATTTTCTTAGATACTATGCTAAGATTTTAACTGAGTTTCGTCAAAAAATCTTCGAAATCTGGCAGCACGTTCAAAGTGATACACTACCGAAAGGTTTGATTAAAGGCTTTTACGGCCAAAACAGATAACAATTAGTGTTTTGTGCTAATTACTTTAATGCTCACAACGAAATTTCAGCAGAATTTCTTGAAAAAGTCACGCAGTGGTTAGGTTGGTCACGTTATGCATCTCACAATCAATCTGAGTAAAACGTTTTGGAACACATATCTTCAGTATATTTTGTATATACTGCCAGGATCTCAACAACACGTGCTTTGGTCAAATATACGTGAGCTGTATACGATGTACTGGTCTCTCTTGAAAGTATTCACTTAAAATGTGCTGTCAGATAAAATTCTGGTGGAAACCACAGGATAAATTCAGTTGAAAAGTGTGAAAACAGAATAATTATGTATTTACTATTGTATTGTTTTATAAGTTTTGATGCTCATTTACCTACCCCCTATCTTTAGTTTGAATAAATTTGCTAGGCCAGAATTTATAAGGCAGTACACGTTAAATGGATATTCCCAAAATGTCTTGAGAAATCGTCAAATGCAAGAGTTTGCGGTTTTAAGATACACTTTGAACCACATGAACTCTTATATAATTTCAAATATTCCTCACTTTGGGTGCGTTTAAGAGCCAACTGTCCTTAACAAGTGACTGAAGAATTTACTACTTAAGTTAAACTTAACCATATATATACTCCCTGTTATTTTGTGGGCAAGTTCCAACTAAACGTGATCATCATCAGCAACTCACCAATGTATGTCATGTACGTCGTGATATTGTGATATTAACCGTTTGAAATCAGAGAGTTGAGTAAATAATATTTTGTGCTGACATACTTTGTTGGAAAAATCTAAAGGTTCCTTAGTAGTCAAATGCACTTACTGACGGACCCCATGTTGACAATATCTGTTCATAAACTAGAAACCTGATGGTTGTCTAATTGGATTTAGGTATTCTGCGTTTAGTTGGCTTTCAGTAGGTTAAAAGTCAACTGTTTACTTTCTCGTTACACGTCAAAATGACTCACTTTCCAAATATCTGATGCTTACTTTTTAGTTTGTATCTTCGGACTTTAGAAATGCTTTGTTGGGTTTTAGTTTAAAATTCTTAAGATTTATATGTGCTTCTAAAAAAGGCTTTAGTTAGGGTCATTGGCCTAGTAGTTTGGTGAAACATTGTACTTTATTGAATCTTACTACTAGCTTACACATAAAGCTGTTTGAATTGTTAGTAGTTTGAATTAAGTGTCCTACAAACATCAGTAAAGTATAAAGTAGATTTCATAAATTACTTTCTCATTGAGTCCTTTTATTTAAAAAGTTCCTGAAATTTGTTGATTTGCAAATGCTGCCAATTACGAGAAACTGAAGAAATCAGTTTATAGCCCTTGAGATATTGTTATGATAAAGTGGCATAACTCAGCGTGTAAATGCGATTAATTGTGTTTTGTTGAGTTTTTTTCCATATATATTTGTGTAAAGTATGTCGATTTCCTCCGTGTGTTCTAGTACTGTAGATATTTAAACACAGGAATTTTACTGTTTTTTATTTAGTATTTGCAAATTGAATTCATTGAGATGTTCATAATGGGGTGTTGTGTAAATTAAATAAACTAACAGGTAATTACTGAGTTACGGGATTCCTTTTCGGATTTTCTATCTTTTCGTTTGACTCAACATCTGTCAATTTTGTCGCTTTTTGAACTAAATAAAAAAGGCCACACATATTACAGCCTATTTAGCTAAATTATG